AAAAAAAAAAAAAAAGAATCCAGACCACTAAATGAATTGCAAGAGTGCTTTACAGCTTACTTCATCCTTAGAGTATATCCCACCAAGAATGTACACCAAAACACTATGTTCTAAAGTCAGTTGAATTAATTCTTCTTACTGTATGAATTATGACATTAATCTATATAGGTAAGTTCATTATCTTTTATCTTGAGAAATACCTTTACTGGCTATGGGATTCTAGCTTGATTTTTTAGTTTCAGGACATTAATACTATTATACTACTACATCCTGTTGGTATGGGGAAGTCAGCTGTCAATTTGTTTCTCTTTTGAAGAAAATCCATCTTCTTTAGCTGATTTTCCTCCTTGTTTTTGATTTTCTACAGGTATAGCTATCTTTTTGTTTATCCTGCTTGATTATTAAGCTCTGAAATCTGTCTTAGTTGCTTCAGCCATTAATTCTTCAAAGACTGTTTCTGCCTCATTTTCTCTCTTCTCCTTTGGGACATGAATTAAATGTACATTAAAATGGTCTCACTGTTTCCTCTCACCTGTTAACCTCTCTTCTGTATTTTCCATACTTTTGTCTCTCTTTGCTTTATTTTACTAAGTTTTTGCTATCCTCATCTTTTACTTCACAAATTCACTTATGCTATATCTAATCTGTTGTTAAACCTGCCTAATTTCAATACAGGTCATTGTATTTTTTGGTTCTACAATTTCTGTTTGGTTTTTTTAAAAAATTATGTCACATTTTATAGTTTACAGTTCCCTGGCAAGATTTTTAAGCTTGGATTTCAATTTCATAAGCATAGTAAACATAGTTTTTTATTTTTAAAATCAATGTCTGATATTACCAACATCTGGAGTCCCACTGGGTGCTTCTGTTGCTCTTGTTTTTGCTAGCTCTTATTCATGTTACCTTGTCCACCTTTTATCTAGGTGTGGGGGCGGGAGGGTGTGGGGGTGTGTGTGTGTATGACAGAGAGAGAGAGAAATATGCACATGAGCTGGACATTTTGAGAAAGTATTTGTTAAATAATCTGAAGCACAGATGTGGTTATCTATCTACCTAGAAAGAATTTTTGTTTGCTTCTACAAGGCATCTGGGAGAATTAGAAATCTAGAATCATCTTAATCCATTTTGAAAGTTTAAGATTTTCTAGCCTTTCCAGATGACCCAAAAAATATATGAGTTCATGTGAAGGATGGTTTATTTCAGGTTCACCTTACTCCTTAAAGTGTAACCTTTTAGTTATCCCTGCCCAAAACAAGAGGTGCTTTTAACAGCACCCCAGCTCAGCAGGCCCTAAACTCTTTGACCTTCTTGTCCTACATTAATTCAGAAGTGCATCTTAGCCTCTTGGCTGCTTGCTCTAATTTGCAAATGACCTCAGGGCAAAAGCAGCCCCCAGTGTTGGGCTCAAGCTTTCTGCTATTCCTGTTTTTTCCTATGTTGGCCCAGAAATTCCTTCCTACTCACTAGAGCTCTTAGATTCTTTTATGATGTTTTAATATTTCATCCAGCATTTGTCATCAATGGGAGGGTGGTCTAAATTACCTAGTTTGTCATTTTCAGAAACTGAAATCCTACCAGTTTTGTTAGCTCTCTTTCTCTTCACTAAATAAAACATCACCTCCCTAGAGTCTCCGTTGACTATAATATTTAAAATAACTTCCCTATCATTATCTCTTTACCTGCTTTATTTTATCTTTACTGTACTTATCACTACCTGACATCTATTTATTAACATGTCCCACTAAATGTAAACTTCAAGAGGATAGAAAAATGTGCCTTATTCCCTCTGGGGAATGGGATGAGAAGGAAGGAGAAAATTTTATATTTCACTTTATACTCTTCTATATGACCTAGATATTAAGATTTTAAAATCCAAAAGTCCATGCATAGTCTTTATCACCATCCCGCTCCTTCCTCCTCCCTAATGGTATTTTCAGCTGACACTGGCCTTGGCCTTCTTCTGTTCTTATTCTTTATATTCTACTATATATAACTACATTTACTCTTATAGTTTCAATCATATAACAACAACACCTAATATTTATTGAACACTTACTATATCTCAGGCAGTATGCTAGGAGCTTCACATAGGTTAGTATATAATCAATCCTAAAACAAACAAACAAACAAATCCCAAAAGAACAGCTATAACAACAACAAAACCTTTGCAAGGGGAAATAAATAAATCTACAAAGTATTATTATCTCTGTTTTAAAGCTGATGAAATAAAAGCTTAGGCTGGTTAAGTAAGCTGCATAAAGTCACAGCCAATTAGTGGTGAATCCAGCATTTACACTCTTGTGCCATGCTCTAACCAAAGCACTATGCTATAATAAATCCATGGGAGGAAATGTTGAGGCTCTAAAATTTATCTCTAAATCTGATCATTTCCAATTTCCAGACCAAAATTTCTATGTAGCTGCTTGCCATTTTCAAGGGACATCCAGCAGGAACCATAAACCTAACATGTTTAAAGCTAAGCTAATCTTCTTTACCTTCCAAATCTGCCATTTATGATTTGCATCTAATTGACAGTGTCATTATTCTATCAGCCATCTGTGGAAATGTTTTTAAACAGTTTACTGAGTTTTAAACATATCACATAACATAAAATTTACCCATTTAAAGTGCACAATTAAATAGGTAGTAGTATATTCAAAAAATTGTGCAACCATCACCACCAACAATTTTAGAACATTTTTATCACTCCCCAAAAAATCCCTCTCCACCCACTTTGTCTCTATAGATTTGCCTCTTCTGGATGTAGAAATCTTGACATCAACTTTGGCTATTCCCTGCCCCTAATCTCTCCTACCCTAACAATGAACTGGTTGCCTCATTATGTTGATTCCTTCGAGTGGTAAGTTTCTCTTTTCCATGCTCATCACACTTTTAACTTAGGCAAGCATTATCTCTTGCCAGGTCACTTACTTACTTACTTAGTGTTTGCTGACTTCTCTCTCCTACCCCACTGTATGATGCTGCCTGAGACTCCTAAAACATCCAATGGCTTCCCACTATGAAGAGAATGAAGTTCACACTCCTTAGTGTGGCACACAGGAGCCATGTTCAACTCCAACTGCTTTCCCAGCCTCTTCTCTCCTGCTTGCACCATTCATTCCATGCTTTGGTCATACTAAATTACATGAAAAGCATGTGGCACATGTGTCACATTTTATAGTTTTCAATTTTTTGGAAAAATTCTCAAGCTTGGCTTTCATAATGGATTTTTGTTTTTATACAAATCATACTGGCTTCTAGGCACAGAGTTTATTTGCCAAGGGCTTTCTAGAATTGAGATTTAAAATTCATTTTTCAGGGTGCCTGGGTGGCCTAGTAAATTAAGCATCCAACTCTTGATTTCAGTGCAGGTCATGATCTCAGGGTCATGGGATTGAGTCCCACATGGGGCTCTACACTCAGCTCAGAGTCTGTTTGTCCATCTCCCTCTGCTCCTCCCCGCACTCACTGTCTCTCTCTCTAAAATAAATAAATAAAATCTTTAAAAAATTCATTTTTCAAGACAATGAATTTGAAGATTTTGATGGACTCTATCATCACAAAAGGATATGGAAACCGAAGAAATCCTACTCGGCTGGTTCGAAAAGACCTCTGGGCAGGGACACAGAGCAGCCGCTGGAGTCAGTATCAGCTCTCCCAACAAGCCCAAGCCAGCCATGTCATCAGGGATGAGAAGCATTACTGGATGTCCTAGCACAGGATGGATTCTGCTGCAGAGTAATTCAGCTGTACCAAATTTTGGTCTACTGTCAAAAAACAGATAAGACAAATTTAGCTTTTTTTGGTTCTTAAGCAATTATTTTTTCTTTTCTTCTCTCTTTTTTTTTTTAAAGTAGGCTCCACGATAGGGCACCTGGCTGGCTCCCTCAGATCAAAAGTGTGCAACTCTTGATCTCGGGGTTGTGAGTTTGAGCCCCACACTGGGTGTAGAGATTACTTAAAATAAAATCTTTAAAAATAAATAAATAAATAAAGTAGGCTCCACACCCAACGAAGCTTTCTTTACCTCTCTCTTTAAACTGATCAGGTCATCCAGGAAGATATGTCCACAAACACTGGCTCAGAGGCTTAAACTTTTTCAGTAAATCTGTGATAATGAGCTGTCTGAAAAGACTGTATGACAGCAGAGGACTACTAAAGAAAGATAAGGGGTGGGGGCTTTGTTTCCTGCACATATTAAAGAATAAAAAAATCTAATCTGAATTGTAATTCTAAGAGTGAAAAAACAGACTAAAAAGCCATGGGCAATCTAATCTCTTCAAGCCTTAAGATCCTATGACTACCAGTGACCGTTCAGGGCATACAAACGGAGTGGAAAACTACTGAATAAAGAATAAATTAGTTGGACTTAATAATAAATTAGTTTTTTTCTTGCTATAATGCATGTTCACTTTGGATTCTGTGGTAGGTGGACAGCATAGGAAGGCAAGGCAGAGGGTTCTATTCCATTTATTTCCCATCTTCTCCATGGATTTTTTTTTGTAGTCTGAAGAAGGTGGAGGTAGAGAGATGATTTCTGAACATATGCAAAATGTTGATGCACAAAAAGTAACATGCAAAGAATTCCTTTGTATTCATAGTATCTTTCTAGCCAAGAGTTTAAGTAACTACTATCTAAAGTCATTCCTCTCTTCTCATATGTAAATAAGATTGAAATTAGCAGGGTTTGTTTTGTTTTATTTACAGATGGGAAAGAGAAGGCACATGTCCTTGGGTCAATTAGAATATATTCAAGGAGCCAGAAATAATATGGGAAAGAGAAGGCACATGTCCTTGGGTCAATTAGAATATATTCAAGGAGCCAGAAATAATAAGAGTTTTCAATAAAAATAGCTTCAAAGTTTTACTTCCACTTTTCTGACAGAGAATCTGATACCTGGCACTAAGAAATGATAAATGAGGCTATTTTCAATTTCTACCCACATTCATACTCATAACAGGAGATTAAAACATGGAGAGGGACCACAATGCTTTTACCCTTCACCTCACATAATGCTGACAGCTTATAACAAGAGCAATTCCATTTGATAGGTTCAAAGTGGGTTCATTCTTTGTCCTGCAAACAAAGAAAAACCCTATTTCAGAGATTCTAAAACCAATCTTTACCTGATATAAATTTTGGCCCATGACTACCACCACCCTCAAAGATTATTAGAATTCAATAACCAATTAACCAAGGGGAAAATGGCGACTTTTAAGATCACCCACTCTAGTGAGAGGAAAAGATGTGAAATGTTTAGATGAATCTACTGGCTCATTAAAAGCTAACATAGGAAAAGAAATCTATTCAACCTGAAAAAAAAAAATTAAAGCTAACATAGAATAAGAAAATGTGGGGGGTCTCAAAACTAATTTCAGGGTGACTTTGGGTCAAGAAGTCAAACTGTGGGGCAACTGGGTGGCGTAGCTGGTTGAGTATCCAATGCTTGATTTCAGCTCCTGTCACGATCTCAGGGTCATGAGATTGAGACTTTCCTGGAGCCCTGTGTCAGGCTCTGCGCTCAGCATGGAGTCGGCTTGGGTTTCTCTTTCCCTCTGCCCCTCCCTCCCACACACAGGCTCGTGAGCTCTCACTCTCTCGAAAATAAATAAACAAATCTTAAAAAAAAAATAAAAGTCAAACTGTGACGCTACTAGAAACAGGACAATAATGACTGAGAAAAACTATAAAGCCACAGCATAAACTTAAGCCATGGATTTAAGGACTTACCCAAAGACTTCCATGGAAAGGACTTACCCAAAGACTTCCATGGAAAGGACTCCATTCACCTTTACAGTGAAATTAAATTTAATCTGCAAAGTAAATGGGGTATGAGATTTAACACGAACCAGGACAGAGATTAAAAACTTCCATACTTAATTCCCGAAGGGGAAGATATTCTTTATATCCCCTTTTTTTCACTTGTACTTTCCCTAAACATAATATAATTAACACAATTAACATTTCTCTGTGCTCAAATTCTGCATCTTAAATATACTGAGTCCTACACTTCAATTCCAAGTGGCCATAGATTATCAGTAAATCCTACCCTTTGTTCTCTGCTCTTCTCCCAATGTTATCTCTTCTCCCCCTTAAAGGAACTATCAATTTTTCTCTCTATTCTTCCCACTGTTTTTGTACATAGAACATTCCATGCTTTTTCTTCCCCTGCCCCCATATGACTTTTGTCCTCCCTCCAGTTTACTTCACTGTTCTAATTATTTCCTACCTTTGACCTACATTTTTCTATGTAACATAATGGGTAATAAAGGACTCTAGAGCCAGACTGCCTGAATTCAAATCCTGGCTCTGCAAGTTACTTAACCTCTGTACTAGTTTCCTCAGCTATAAAATGGGAATGATGATGATAAAACCTACTTCACAAGGGCTGTTGCATGGGGTAAGTGAGTGAGTGTATGGAAAGCACTCAGAATAGTGACTGGCATAATAAGCACTGAACCCTGCTAAAGACAGAAAAAGTAGAAAGCTAGCAAGAGAAAAAAAAGGAGAAGTTATAAAGCATACTTAATGGTATGCATCCCTATAAACAGACCTAACTATAGCTAATAATAAAAATTATAGCTCTCCAAAGTTTGAAGTACTTTATCAAAATTTCCTGATTTGTTCTTCTAGTCACTTTGGAAAAGAAGGAGATAGTCAGCAAGGTTTATTATCCAGGTTTAATAGAAAAATGAAATACAGAGGAGGAAAAAAAATGTATCTAAATCGGGCGCCTGGGTGGCTCAGTCGTTAAGCGTCTGCCTTCAGCTCAGATCATAATCTCAGGGTCCTGGGATCGAGGTCCACATCAGGTTCCCTGTTCAGCTGGAAACCTGCTTCTCCCTCTCCCACTCCCCCTGCCTGTGTTCCCTCTCTCGCTGTGTCTCTCTCTGTCAAATAAATAAAATCTTTAAAAAAAAAAAGTATCTAAACTGAATAATAAGACAGTAAGGAAGTAAAAACAAGAACCCAAGAAAGCTCTATATCCAAGGGCTCTTAGCTATGTCACATGACCAACATCAACTCTGTGCTAGGGACAAAGAAATCAAATCAATTCAATATTAAAAGTTGTAATCATTACCATGAAAAGAAAGAGGGCCAACCATATCCTTTCATGTCCTACAGAGTAGAGGTCTCCTGAAAACATATGACAAGAGAAGCATCACTGTGCAAAAGAACAGCTTACCTTAGGGTGTACCATGACAATTTTATGTAAAAAATTCTTTATCACCAAACTATCTGTCATCAAAGTTCTGGGCTTTTCATCAACCTGTAACAATACAACAAAAACATCCACCACAAATACACAAACCCAGGAGCACAAATGAATTAAATTATGGTATTTCTTGAGGCACCTGGGTGGTACAGTCAGTTGAGCATTTGACTCTTGGTTTCAGCTCAGGTCATGATCTCAGGGTGGTGAGATCAAGCCCCATGTCCGGCTCCGTGTGGAGTCTACTTAAGATTCTCTCTCCCTCTCCCTCTGCCCCTCCCTGCCTCTCTAAAATAAATAAATTTTTAAATAAATAAATCTTTAAATAAATAATGGTATTTCTTCCTATAAAGGTAACTTAACCCTGAGAAAGCTTTTCAGACATCCAAGGGGAAACACCTTTGGATCTAAGAATTGGACATAAAAGGCAATCTAATAATTCGGTATTTCTTGGGCTAAACTATTCCATGGAACTTCAGGAGACACATTAACAAAGATCAGAGCAAAACCCACAATTTCAAAACCACCTTTTGGAACAAATTTAGAAGTAATTCAGACCGGAACTAAGAAGAGTAACTCTATCTTAGCTCTACCGACCTGATGTGAGTTGATCTGTATTAAGAATGGAGTGAAAGTAGCAGACACTAAAAGGAACTATTTTTCAACATCAATCCATTTATCTAATCATTTTTTTTTTAGGAAAAGCTGTAAAGCAAAAAGCTCACAAGTCAGAAGACCTGTGTTCTAGTACTGGCTCTATAAAAGTTACTTAAGTAACCATGAAAAAAAAATCACTTAATTGCTCTGAATTTTGTTTACTAATCTGTAAAACAGCGATAAAAGTTACCCATTCTAGGGGCACCTGGGTGGCTTAGTCAGTTAAGTGTCTGCCTTCAGCTCTGGTCATGAGCTCAGGGTCCTGGGATCGAGCCCCATGTTGGGCTCCCTGATCAGCAGGGAGTCTGCTTTTCCCTCTCCCTCTGTGTCTCCCCATTACTTGTGCACTCTCTCTCTCTCTAAAAAATAAATAAATAAATAATCTTAAAAAAAAAAAAAGTTAGCCATTCCACCTCACAGAACTGTTTTAAGGATCAGATAATAATCTTTAAATATATATTATACATGGCAACAATAGCAGATACCACTTGTTGAATGCCTACTACGTAGCAAGCATTGTGCAGGTCTTATTTCAACATTACCTCAAACAATCCTGGAGGCAGGTACTACTATCCTTTCTTTGTAGATTGTTTTTTTAAACAAGACTCAGAGAAGTTAAGCAACTTGCCCAAGGTTACCCAACTGTTCAGTGATAGAGCCAGAATTTGATCCTAAGTCTGTCTAATACCAATTGTCCATACTCTTTCCAATATACCCTGATATCTCCCTACAAATATAATAAAATTTATAATTTAATGAGGGCTTTCTCTATTCCAGGAATGGAGCTAAAATATCTTACTTATATTACCTCATTTACCCCTCACAAAAGCCCTATTAGGTACATGTAACCCACATTTTATGGATAAAAAAAAAATGAGTCTCAAAGAGGTCAAACAATTTTCTCAAGGTTACCAAATCTGGCTCCAAAGCTTTAGTAATAACCACTTTCCTATAATGACTCACTATATTTAATACAGTGTCCCTAAAACCAAAGTTATAAGGAGTCTTTTAGAAAGTGGGAGAGTCTAGGAAAATGAGAAGAAATAGAGTAAAAAATCAGTAAGTTCTTACTGGTGGCTCAGAGAATACAGAGCCATGTAGTAGGAACACATTAAAGAAAAAAATGGTCCTAGACCTCAACATATCATAACACAATGAGGAAGAAACAGAAAGAACAAATTACTATAAAACTTTTTGTAAGTACACTGAAAATGAGATCAAGAAGTATGCAATGAGTGGGGAAAATGAGAAAGATTATTATAGAATCATTACAAAAAATTATCAGAAAAGTGGATGTGAATTATTAGAAAATTCTAGAAACAGATCTAGGATTACTCATGCATGTATATAGTAGTGATTAAACAGTAACTGCCGCATACATATCAGTCACATCCTTCATTTAAAAAATTTTACTATAGGGTCGCCTGGGTGGCTCAGTCGGTTAAGTGTCCGACTCTTCATCTCAGCTCAGGTCTTGATCTCAGGGTCCTGAGTTCAAGCCCTGTGTTGGGCTCCACACTGGGTGGGGAGCCTACTTTAAAAAAAAAAAAACAACTTTATTATAAAATGTTCAAATAGTAGAAAAGCAATGATCTCTTCAAAGCATTTTTTGTACTTAGCACTTACAAAACAACTTCTTGGAACAATTTCAAACTTCTGTAGCCTTGGTTATTATAGGGTACATCACAGAAAAGGCTAATTAAATCTAGCAGTAAGGCAACCAAGTAAGTGAAAATTCCTTGAGCGGCTACCAGAGAGGGGCTACAATTAATAATGATGAGAGCTACCACTTACTGAACACCTGCTACATGCCAAACAGTTTATATGCAAGTAGGAAATATCCCCCATTTTATTTATGAGAATAATGAGACTAAATAAGCTGTTTAATTTGTCCAAGGTCACACATAGCTAGTGAAGTGGCAGAACTGGGATTCAAACCTAGATCTAACTTCAAAGCCCACGCAATGCTGTCTCTCCAAGAAAGTTCATTATCTGTGCATATAGCTTTCAGAATTGGATATTATGTAATCTATCATCACTTTTATGGAGCCTGACAGGCAATGCTTATGCAAACTACTGAATTACCCACTCAAAACACTGAATGGAGTTTATTATGTAACCTGGGCCTACAGAGGTAAATAAAACAATCTGAATTTAAAGAGTTCACAGTTAAGTAGAAGAGAGAGACAAATAAATAACGTATATGCAATGTGAAAAGTCCTAGGATTTACATATATTAAGAAATGCTAAAGAAATACACAAGAAGGACTGGTACCTAATCCAGACTGAGAAGATAAAGTGACCTAATACCATGTCAGCAGAGGATAGTTAACATAAAGCAAATAGCTCCTTTTAAAATCTACTCATAAATTATTGAAAGAGAACGAAAATATGTGTCTATGTCTACAAAGTCTTTTAAAGCCTTTTAGAGTTGGGTGTTAGAAATCCAGTACCCCAGCCTGACATACATATAGAAGCAGTGAATTTACTTAAGTGTTGTTAGGAAAACATAGATGCTGCCAGCCCTGGGCAGCAGAAACCATTACTGAATCCTATGTTCCAGCCTTCACCTTTATATCACAGATAATATCAGAGCTGTTTGGTTTTTTTTAAGATTTTATTTATTTATTTATTTGACAGAGAGAGAGCGAGAGCAGGAACACAAGCAGGGGGGGTGGGAGAGGGAGAAGCAGGCTCTCTGCTGAGCAGGGAACCCAATGCAGCTCCATCCCAGGACCCTGGGATCACGACCTGAGCCGAAGGCAGACACGTAATGACTGAGCCACCCAGGCGCCCATATCAGAGCTGTTTTATATATTCAAATTGAACTTAGGTTGTCATGGGCCCTATATGGCTGTCCAGAAGAAAGTCAATCTGTGCCTCTGTCTCTTCCTGTCTCTAGTTAAATAGGTATACAAAGAAATAGAGATAAATATGAAGATATGTTTGTAGAAATACATGTACCTCTACCAATTTTATCACTTAGTATTATGGCAAAAATAAATATAAAAATGGATAAAGATTTCAAGAAGATCTTGTAAAATCAAATTGTTTTTGGAAGGACGTGTTACCCAGCTGATTGGACCCCAAGATGCAGGACTGACTGTGAGCATAAACACAAGACATTGCATCTCTCCTAAATGAAGTTCTCTTTAGTATTCCCTGGGATAGGCTCTCCTCACATGCCCAAAGCAGTGGATCATTTATTATAGCTTTTTCTTGGATGTCTCCATTCACTAGCTTCCATTATGAACCTTGCTACTTGACTCTTCTCCCCATTTGAGGTATATATGATGAACTTGTTCACAGTCTCCCCCTTCTTCTCTTCTCACTCTCTTCATTCAAGTATCTTTTAAATAGCTGCATAGTACCAGAGACAATGAGATGTAATGGAACAAACACTTTCAGGGAACCCTTGTTCCTGTTCCTCTAAGGTCATACTGCTTTTTGCCACTTCTCATCTATTGCTCAGCAGGCACTGAGCTCACGTTTCCTCAGCACTTTAAGACCTGCCATCAACTGGGCTACTTCCACATCCAAGTTGATGGCCTAAGGAACAACTTAGTCTCACAATTTCCTGACCTCTTCAACTCCACTGACCTTGACATCCATGCATTTCCAGCCACCTATTTCCATGGCCATAGTTTGGAACTGTACCATTCTAAACACCTGAAACTGAAATGCCTCACTCTTATGTGAAAAGATGCACACCAAGATGTTAACAGTGGCTACCACAATTAAGTCAAATTATCTAGGGCGCCTGGGTGGCTCCGTTGTTGAGTGTCTGCCTTTGGCTCGGGTCATGGTCCCAGGGTCCTGGGATCGAGCCCCGCATCGAGCTCCTGCTCAGTGGGAAGCATGCTTCTCCCTCTCCCACTCCCCCTGCTTGTGTTCCCTCTCTCACTGTCTCTCTGTCAAATAAATAAATAAATAAAATCTTAAAAAAAAAATCAAATTATCTGTGTTCTAAATGCTCTCTTTGATTTTCCTGAGGGAAACACTGCTTTTGCAATAAGGAGAAAAATAAGACAAACTCTGTAAGTCTGAAGACAACTTCCTATTCTTTCAAGTCTTTGAACACCTTATACCCAGAAAATCTGTTTTCAGTCTCAACAAGACCTCCAGACCTTGGACACTTCCAATTGTGTTAGGTACCCTTCCTCTATGCTATATACCCTATCTCTATCATGATACATATTACACTGTATTGTAATTATTTGTTTGCTTGTTTATCTTTTCCTTTATCAAGTAATGTGTCTTGGGACTCTGTACCTTCAACATCCAGCACAGTGTGGCCGACTTGAACAAACACAGGTTCCCGAATGAGTGAATAAATATTTAAACAGACCTGATTAAAATGAGTAAGACTTTAGTTCAAATTCTAATTCTGTCACTTAACTTTCATATGACCTTGGGTAAGTCAATCGAACTCTCTGAATCTCAGGGTTCTTGTACCTATAAAATGGGGTGATAATCCCTGTTCTATCCACTTCATAGAGTTGTCAGGAGACTTAAATAATACATATAAATGTTAGTCATAAAAATTATTCTTTGGTTTGTTTTTTTTTTAAAGATTTTATTTATTTGACAGAGAGAGATAGTGAGAGCAGGAACACAAGCAGGGGGAGTGGGAGAGGGAGAAGCAGGCTTCCCGCTGAGCAGGGAGCCTGATGTGGGGCTCGATCCCAGGACCCTGGGATCATGACCTGAGCCAAAGGCAGGTGCTTAATGACTGAGCCACCCAGGCGCCCCAAAATTATTCTTTGTTTAAACTGGCTAAAACACATGATCTCCTTTTCTAGAACTGCTCTCCTTGGTTCACTGAAATCAGCTTTTTTTTTTATTGCTACTTGAAATTAATAGTTTCAAAGCTGACTAATCATTAATTGCTCCAGATTTTTTACCCATCATTCCCCTAAAGAAGATAAGGCACAGCCAGGGATATCTATTGTCGCAATACTGCACCCATTTCCTTTGACAAGGAGCATATAATTGTCCAAACACAAAGAAAGGCCTCCCAAATGCTTCTTGGGAGAATGTTTAAAGTACTCCAGTTCTGGGGCTCCTGAGTGGCTCAGTCAATTAAGCAACTGCCTTTGGCTCAGGTCATGATCTCCAGGTCCTGGGCTCAAGCCCCTCATTGGGGTCCCTGTTCAGCGGGGAGTCAGCTTCTCCCTCTGCCCAACCTCCCCCCCGCACCCTGCCGCCCCGTGCTGTCAAATCTCTCTCTTTTTTTAAAGATTTTATTTATTTGAAAGAGAGAGCACAAGCAGGGGGAGCAGCAGAGGGAGAGGGAGAAGCAGGCTCTCTACTGAGCAGGGAGCCCAATGCGGGGCTTGATCCCAGAACCCGGGGATCATGACCTGAGCTGAAGGCAGACGCTTAACCGGCTGAGCCACCCAGGTGCCCCTAAATAAAGTCTTAAAAAAATAAAAGAAAATATTCTAATTCTTTATGTTTCCACAAACAAAGGAAAGAAAGATAGGGGATCAGAGAATTGTTAAAGGGAATGGAGAACTCAACTGTCACTCTCATAAATCTGAGCTACAAATAAATCAATGAAGATCTTTAAACCAACCTAATAAGAATGTATCCAAATAGGATCTACACTGAAACAAGATATTTTTATTTTCTTTTTCAGGAGATCCAAATTCAAATAATGGCTTGTTTCAGTGGTTCTCAAATTTATCTGCACATTAGGAATCATCTGGGATTTTTTTTCCATTTGGGATTTCAAAAATATTCCAAAGCCCAGGCCACATCAGTGTCTCCCAAAATTCACACATTGAAGCCCTTGCCCCCTATGTGACTGTACTTGGGACACAGAGCCTTAAAGACATATTAAATGAGGTCATAAACGTGGAGCCCTAATCTGATAGGACAGGCGTCCTTATAAGAGAAAAATACCACAGAGCTCTCTCTCCACATACAAAGGAAAGGCCATGTGAGGGAACAATGACAAGACACTTTAATCTTAAACTTCTAGCCTCCAAAATAACGAGGAAATATGTTTCTACTGTTTAACCACCCAATCCGTGGTTTGTTTTTTTAAATGACAACCTGACCAAACTAATCCAGCACCCTAGACCAATTAAATCACAACCTCTTGGAGTGGGACACAAACACCAGTACTTTGGAAGTTACCAAGTGTTTTAACATCTGCACAGAGAAGTTCGGGAACCAATGCCTTATTTCATTTCAACTTGGAACTGTGATGGACCTAGGCTTTACTGGATTTGTAGAAAAATAAGAATTAAGACATCAGTAATTTATAGAACCACAACAAAACCTGCCTCAAAAATCATCTGGAATGGTGTGACCCCTGATATGTCCTGAGAATAGCTGGCTTCCTCTGAAGTCCAATTCAGTTTTGCAGAGAATCCGGGCAGTATAGATTGTATTTCTGTGTAAGAAGAAATGGCGACAAAAAGAAAAAGCAGTTTGGATAAGCACCAGAATTTCTGGAATTGTTTATTAAACTGATGAGCCAAGAAAGCATTTCCCTGATGAAAAGATTATCTGCAAAATTTAAAATATGACTGGAAATGGCTATGCATCAGCAAATTGCTTGAACATTTAGAATTACTTTATGTGGTTAAGACATTTCATCTCGTGTTTTCAATTTTTCACATTTGCTAAATCAATTTGTATGTTCAGTTAATTTCCACAAGGTCATGTCCAAAGCCAGAAATCTTCAAAGTTGATAGCTCTAGCTTATATTCTTGTAGTTTTTAATAAATTAACTCATTATTTAATAAACACAAATCCAGTAAGTGAGCTAATTTAGAACTGAAAGCAGAAAAATTCAAGAATGACCCACTCAAGCATTTACCTAATACAGTATGTCTGCTAACAACAAACTGTATTTATGGCAGACTTTAACAAAGCAAAGGCAGTCTTTAACAAAGTAAAGCAAATTCTTGCTAATTTAATTCATAAGTTAACCATTTGGTGTATTTGCATACGTGGACCTAGAACTATCTTTCCACAAAGCACCAACGGGTCCTGAATCATCAAAATTGGCATCATGGTTCTTCCTTTCTGTACCTTGGCACTCATATTATAAAGGAAAAAAACAAATCTCCCATTCTATAAAATGTTATCCCTTATTTCCCCCCAAAGTACTATTATAATAAAGAACTACAGATGAATAAAGAGAGCTTCCAGTCTCTGCAAGCTCTACCTTATAAATGAGATTGACAATGTTGATATTATACAAGAATTCAACTTTAAAAACCTAACAACAAAATACATCCTAATAGCACAACTTTCTCCTAGAGCATTCATACTACATATCTAATAAAACTTTAACCATCTCAAAAAGTACGGATATTAACAAGATCAAGTACTAGCTATCAATCTTAATGGGTAGTATTTTTCTTGCCATTATTTGTTTTTCAAATATAATTCAGTCATAAAGCATGGGATAATATAGCAGCAAGGTTATGCTACACTGAAGTTTAGTGAACTTGGCACTGAACCAAGATGCTTTGTATCAATCTTCAGTTTTACCACTTACCAACTTTCTGACTTTAGGTGACCCCCTTTTTACTGTGATTAAATTACCTTTCTGTGAAATAAGAAAAAAACTTGTTCCTGAATCCTACCTTGTCTTTGAAGTATTGATACAGTGAAGAATGGGGAAAACATGTAGATATGTGAGAAAAAGTCTTGTCAATAACTAAATTATCCAGAAATCTTAACAACAATTTAAATAAAATGTGTGGTAATTTGAGGGAAATCAATTTCAACTGCCTCTCTTCATACACACATACACACAAATAAAAATCCAGATGGACTGACTAGAGTTAAATGTGAAAGGCAGAACAATAAAACTAAATAAAAGCCTATTTCAAGATAAGTTGAGCATATGTTGAAACTGCATCTTCCCATTCAAACACATAAAATGGTAAAACAGATATTTTTAAGTTTTTAATTCAGAGTCTAGTTAGTTAACATACAGTGTAATATTTGTTGCAGGTGTACAATATAGTGATTCAACATCCGCACATCATCCGGTGCCCATCACCTTTAAAACAAGTATTTCTAAAACTTAATAAATACATAATCATGGTAAGAAAAACAGAGAAAACTTTATAGACCAGAAATGGAGAGGTATATTTCCCTCATCTTCAGAAAGGAAAAAGAAAGAGAATCTACAGTGGTAGGAAAGGACCAAAGATGCACACCATATCTGGGGCTTGGACTAGGGAAAAAAACATGGGGCTAATATTGCAACAGCCACAGATTTAAGAGCAAGATCCACACAGGCCACACATGGGAGATCTAAACAAGGAACCAAAACACGAACAAAGGCCAGAGATTTTTCACCTGCCTGCCAGAGAGTTGGTTAAAGCCAAGTGATGCTAGTAGCAGCATCAATGATGAAGGTTGAGGGCCTTAACAGCTATGTCATACAAGTGGAAAAAGACTCAGAACTATATAATCTATTAAGATGCAAGAGCTTTAATCTTTTAAAAAAAAAAAAAAAGGGGCGCCTGGGTGGCTCAGTTGGTTAAGCGACTGCCTTCAGCTCAGGTCATGATCCTGGAGTCCCTGGATCGAGTCCC